TTTCTCCAGTTCCTTTTCCGTACTTCCTTTTGCTGACCGGTGCTTTCAAAGAATTGTGCCCCTGAGGAAGGGTCTCCCATGCCCTTAAGTAGTACATGGGAACTACCAAAGAATCTCCCTACTCTCCATTGCTGGGAAAATCATTGCCTGAATCCTTCCAAGGTGCATTCTCCCAGTCTGTAAGGAAATCCTTCCTGAAAGCTAGTGTGGCTTCCGACCAAACCATGGAACTGTGGAGATGATTTTCACTGCCCAGCAACTCCAAGAGAAATGCCAGGAACGACATAAGCACTCTACATGACCTTCATTGGTCTGATCAAGGCTGTTGACTCGGTCAATCTGGAAGAACCTGTAAAAGGCCATTTGAAAGTGAAAGATGGGAAGTTTCAAATCACGGATTACTTAGCATTAAAGATATCATAATGAGTTCCTGTAATTAGAGAGTCCCTTTTCAGCAGTGTCCGTTGGACTCTGTTTTAATTCAGATCCTCGTTCTGGAGCTTCCTTCCCTGGATGCCACTATGCATTGTGCCAGTATTGCTACCTGAATGTTCTGACACTGGACTGGAATATTTAAGATGTGGGTGTCTTTTCATACATTATCCCTGAGTCTGCTTGCTCCTTATCTCAAATGCTGATCAACTCCTGATGAACTGTAACATCCCTTTTATTTATGTCTGTACAGTTCAGAGCAGCCTTTTTAAGGCCTCTCTTATGACATGTTCATTCTAGTCTGGTGTCTTCTGTTTTACCCATGTCAAGGTCATGTGATCAGCATCACGTTTTACATGAATCACATTATACAACACCTACATCTAGTTCAATGTTGCTTCTCCCTAGCACATCAGGTCTTCTAACTGCAAACAGGTTTCTCATCTCAAGAATGTTGTAGCTGGTAATACTTTGCCTCCTGTCTTTGAGTAGTGATCGGCATTGTACTTAGCCTTGGAAACTGAAACTGCTTCAAAAATTCCAAAGTCCTATATCAGTGTTGCTTTAGATTTAAATTATGCCTTCTCTCTTTCATATCTATCTGTCCTCTGCTTCGACACAAGTGCTGGATTCTAAGGAAGGATTTCCGCTCGTAGCATGAAGTCAGAAAATTACTTGTTATTTTAATGCAACGTATTTATTGGACCCGTATTGTCTGTCTGTGAATATTTGTAACAATTTTTGACAAAGACATTGTTCCCTTCTGATTGAATTTCAAGGTCTGATGTACTTGTAGCTGCAACATTTTGGATTCTTTTTAGGTTTGGTGTAAATCCTGCAGTATTGAGAAAAAAATCACATCCTTTAGGAACGGGCAAAATGCAAGAAAACTGTATTTCTGCTGTATTATTTATATTTTAAATGGTCAGCCTACAACAAAAAAGATGGCTGCAACCTGGTGTAAGGATCTCCAGGAATAGCAACCATGTTAGTGTTAGCAAGCAAAAGAGGACAACTTTTAACTAAGATAACAAGGTGTAGAGCTGGATGAACACAGCAAGTCAAGCAGCATCAGAGGAGCAGGAAAGCTGACGTTTCGCATCTGGACCCTTCTTCAGAAATGGGGGCCCATTTCTGCTTGGCCTGCTGTGTTCATCCAGCACTACACCTTGTTATCTCAGATTCTCCAGCATCGGCAGTTCCTACTATCTCTGAAAAGCTTTTAACTAATTTGTTTGTGTAATGGGAAAATACAGGAGTAATGTAGCAATGGCATAACAAATCACTTAAATTGCTTAGAAACAGAAGTATTGGTGAAAAGAATGAAACATTACTGTAAGAAAACAGCTGTTGCTCAGCTGTGCTGACCCCAACTGGTATATGTGTAAAACTAGACCCAAACCAACAGCTGCATTTCATAATACCAGTTTGTCAGGCATTTCCACTTTTGCTTCTCCAAAAGATATTTGCAATTTAATTTGTTTTTTGGGAGGTTCACGCACCCACATTAATGCGGCTTCAGTGTGGTAAATAGACTTGCAGATCAATGATTTAAAATGGATTGCAATGCTGACTACTTCAAAGTAACAAACAACATGCATGTTTACATGTTGTTTGGAAGCATTCCTGGAGATTTCATCAGCCGGCATTATGAACCAATCTCGTTTGACCATGTGACATTTGATCACATGACTTCTGTGAATGCTGTTGCATTATAAAGATAGGCTTGCCTGTAGTAAAATATTTCTGTTCATTGTTTTGAAACACAGCTGCTTGTGTGACAAGCCTGAAGAATTCGAGGCATCCTGAACAGAAGTTGGCTGAAAAATCTAGGAACCCTCCTAAACCTGAATGCTGAGTCCTCAATTGCTGACACTCTAGCCACCCTCTTGGTTGCATTCCACACAGTTGCAGCTGTCTGTGGTGCTGGTTAAGTGACTTTATCAAGGGCTGAAACACAGACCTTGCGCATGTATTTTACTTCTGTCTTTGTGTTCAGCAAATTTGGGCCATGTACTAACTTCTGGCTGAAACGTGAGGCACGCAAACCATATGCAGTTTTTTCCCGATTGTTGAACTATATATGACTATTAAAAGATATCAGTGCAAGTTGGAGGCATATCAGCTGTGTTTTATTTTTTTCCCATATTAGAAAGTACTGTAGGCTGCAAATAAATTTTAATGTGTCAATGTTCAGCTTATTTAAACATATAAATCAGCAGCAGGATTATGCCATTCAGCCCTTCGTGCCTGCTCTGACATTCAAGATGATCTTGGCTGATCTGATTGTAAACTCAAATTGACATTCTCACCTATCCTGACAATCTGTAAATCCCCTTGCTTAACAAGAAATATATCTACTTTTGCCTTAAAAATCTTCAAGAATTCTGCTTCTACCGTGTTTTCTAGGATGAGTTCCAAAAATCACAGCCCTCAGAGAAAATATTGTCTAATCCCTACTATAAAAGGGAGAGCCTGTTTTTTTTTTAAACAGAGACCCCTAGTGTCAGATTCTTCCATAAGAGGAAATATCCTCTCCACATCTACCCTGTCAAGACCCCTCAGGATTTCATACATTTCCATCAATTTGCCTTTTACTTTTCTAAACTTCAGCATCTATAAGTCTAGCCTGTCCAATAGACAACCTGCCCATTTTGAGGTATTAGCCTGGTAAACCGTGTCTGAATTGCATGCAATGTATTTACAGCTTTCCTTAAACAAGGTGAGCAGTACTGTATACAGTATTCTAAATGTAGTCTCACCAGTGCCATGTGTAACTGAAATATAACCTCCATACCTTTTTTCCTTCGGTTACTCTTGCAAAAAAAATTGTAGCATTGTATAATTAACTTCATTCCTAATTACTTGTTGTACCTGCAAACTAACACTTTGCCACATTATACATCTTTTTGCCACATCTGTGCCCACTCTCAGCCTACCAACATTTTTTAACCTATTATGTGCGCTTCACAACCTCCTTTCCTACCTATCTTTCTGCTGACAGCAAATTTCGTGACCATACCTTCTATCCTTTTAGATCTAATTCATTGAAGTAAAATGGAAACAGTTGATGGCTGAACACCTGCCTCAATGGTACGTTGCTCATTACATTCTCGTCAACCTGTAAAATATGCATCTGTTTCTACGCTCTGCTTCCTTTTTTAGCCAGCCAATCTTCTATCCAGGGCAATATCCTCCACCCAACACCTAGAGCTTTTATCTTCTGCAATATCCTATGATGTGGAACCTTATCAAATACTTTCTGGAAATCTAAGTACAGTACAGCCACTGTTTTCCCCTTCATCCACAGCATGTGTTACCTTCTTAAAGAACCCCAATAGATTACATTGAACCTAACTAAGTGTCCTGCTATAACTTCTTTAATAGTAGCTTTGAACGTTTTCCCCATGACAGAAGTTAAGCTAATTGGCCTGTGGTTTCCTGCTTCTGTTTCCCTCCCTTTTTTTGAATAAAGGAGTTGCAGTTGTTATCATCTGATTTAATGGGATTATTGTAGTACTGAAATTAATGGATCTCTGGAAAAGTAAAACCAATACATCAGCAATTCACTAGCCACTTCTTTTAAGATCCTAGGATGAAATCCATCAGGACCCAAACTAATCAGCCTGTAGCTCCAACAATTTACTCAGTATGACCTCTGTGATTTTCCTGAGTTCCTCCCTGCCTTACATTTTCTGATTTATCATTAAATTTGTACCCCAGCCATTATTTTAGTCAAGCCATTAGTCCGCTTATTTTGAATAGGTTAATGTTTCCAGTAAAATCATAGAAGAAACTTCAGAATAACTTGTTAAAACTCTGTACATAATAATGTTACCCAACAAGGTGACTAACAAGACAAATTACAAGTCTGCACTCCAGTCTCCAGCAGGGAGCCTCATTTATCAGCAGTACTTTTTAATGGTCACATTGTCATGTACATGACAATATAAGAGAAGAAACAGGATTAATATACACTGGTGATATTAAAGCATCATTGTATTAAGACTGGTCTTAATGTTCTACTGTTGTTAGTTCATTTTTCTAACATTGCTGGTCTCAATGTGTTCGGATTTGTAACCGTGTTTAAAATGATCAGTAGAGTTAATAAGAGAATACATTGTTAACTCTAACAACAATTTAATTTCTGAAATATAATTCCTGCTCAGAGAATAAAGGAGACCTTAGTTTAAAAAGAAGATATGTAGAAAAATAACGTTATTTGATACGTGGTGCAGCGTAATTACAAAATTACGAAGCAAAGATTCATGTCTGTAATCCCTTGCGCTGAGCTCTTACTATTGACTGCACCACTGGATAATGTAAATTATTGCTAGCTGTTGCTGGAGAACGAGGACATCAGAGGGAACCTTACTTTGTGGTTAGTGCCACACATCTCATAGCAGCTGACCTCTGAGCTATGTTGGTGAAAGGCTAGGTGCAGGATGCTCAGTGGAGGGGTAGTCATTGATGAGTTAAGGAAGGAAAAACTAAAATTTAAGACAGACACTTGATAATCAAAACAATATCTTTCATACTTGAAAATGTAAACCTCCATTGTTTTTCAGGTAAAGTAATGCCAGTGCCACCGTCACCGCCACCACCACCAGCACTTTCTGCTCCTCCTCCACCAGGAGCTCCGCCACTGCCTTCTGTAAGTCAGAAGTATTTCATTTAAGTTATAGTTACAAACTTCAAGACCCTAACATTCGGGGTTACTTTGGGGATATGTCAACAGCTATAAAACAGTGTATTACATTAAATGAGCATTGTCTATAACTGGTGATCTACAATATTTTTTCTGATTTTAAGTATTTCTTTTCTTCAATTCAAAACCATTCAATCAATTAGTGATAGCCAATGCGTGTTTGCATTTATGTCAAAAGGATTCACTTTTGGAGGCGATGTTTGTACTTATTAAGATGTTGACTGTGAAGATCTTTCCGTTCCTTTTACTGGTGTAACGCTGGGAGAATGGCACTTCCACTTCCTGTTTTTTTTAAATTCACTCATGGACGTAGGTGTTCCTGGCTGGCCAGCATTTATTGCCTGTCCCTAATTGCCTTTGAGAAGGTGCTGGTGAGTGCCTTCTTGAACTGCTGCAGTCCATGTGCAGTAGGTTGACCCACCATGCTCTTAGATGGAATTCCAGGATTTTGACCCAACAGCAGTGAATGAACAGTGATATATTTCCAAGTCAGCATGGGTAGTGGCTTGCAGGAGATGTTGCAGATGTTGGTATTCCCATGTTTCTGTTGCCCTTGTCCTTCGAGATGGAAGTTTGGAAGGTGGGTTCAAAGATCTTTGAATTTCTGCAGCGCATCGTGTAGAGAGTACACACTGCTGCTACTGAGCGTTGGTGGTGGAAGGAGTGGATGCTTGTGGATGTGGTGTCAACCAAATAGGCTACTTTGTCATGGGTGGTGTCAAGCTTCTTGAGTGTTGTTGGAGCTGCATTTATCCAGGCAAATGGCGAGCATTCCATCACACTCCTGACTTTTGCCTTATATATGATGGATAGGCTTTGGGGAGTTAGGAGGTATGGTGTTCACTGCAGTATTCCGAGCCTCTGACCTGCTCTTTTAGCTACTGCATTAATATGGTTAATCCCTTTTTTGAGTTTCTGGTCAATGGTAACCTCAAGGATGTTGATAGTGGGGCATTTAATGATAGTAACACCATTGAATGTCAGAGTGGTGTTAGATTGTCTCTTTATTGGAGTCGGTCGGTCGGTCATTGCCAGGCATTTGTGTAATGACACTTGTCAGCCCAAGCCTGGATATTGTCCAGATCTTGTTGCATTTGAACATGGACTGCTCCAATACCCGAGGAGCCACGAATGGTGCCGAATATCGTGCAGTGATCGAACATCCTCATTTCTGACCTTTATGAGAGAGGGAGGGTCATTGATGCAGCAGTTGAAGGTGGCTGGGCCTAGGACACTATCCTGAGGAACTCCTGCAGAGATGTCCTGGAGCTGAGATAACTGACCTCCAACAACTTCCTATGTGACAAGTATGACTCCAACCAGTGAAGAGTTTGCCCTCTGATACCTATTGATTCTGATTTTTCTAGAGTAGTTGTGCCTTTGGCATTGTCCCAATTTGTTAGGGTTCTCTTAGAATTCAAAGTGCACACCCATTTCCGTGTTCAGTTGGGGCTACGGCACCCATTTAAGGGATGAGTGAACTTGCGTCTGGAACCATTTCACATCACAGCCTTGAAAGCCCACGTGGACAAGTCAAAGATTTAACAAATTTAAAATAAGTGGTAGTTTCCCTAATATGCTGTAGTTCCTCCATCAGCCAAACATTCATTTATTGGATATGGGAGGTAAACAAGCTTTATACATTTTTAATCGTCTCTCTTTTTTTCACCAGGATCATATATGGTCCAGTGTTTGATAGGTGCACATTGAGTCAGAGCAACTGAAGCAAGGTAGATAAGAATTTGAACAGCTAATAATTATCACCTGATATGTTCATCTTTTTCAGTGATGTCCGCTTAGGAGATTGCTGTTAGCAGTGCTTCACCCATTCTGGTAACAATTGCATTGCTGAGTAAAAGGAATGCAGTGTAATTACCTGAAATCCTACCCCCATCCATCCAGTAACTGCCTCAGAGGCACCAAAACCATTGCAGGTTATTGGGTCCTTTTAGATATTTGGTTGATGCGTAGGGCTTGTTTTCATTTATGCCTTCATAAACACAGTGTATGATAAGCGTAAGGTTCTCAAAAAAGAATGCACGTTGACCTAAGTAAGTATCTGTAAAATAATTTTTATTTCCTGAAACATCCAGCCATCTTTTCTGAGCTTTCTGCATATTGCCACTGACATACTGTGCATCCCATATCTGTGTTTTTCAATAGGTTGGAGACAAGTGTTGATTTTTTTGAGGTCTGTCTAATGAACCACCCTCATTATCGTGTATAACTCTCCTCCAAAGTTAGGAACATTTTACTCTCCTTCCCTTCTACGACCTTTCTAAAATAGCTCCCATTTTTGCCCTATCTCACCCCATCTTCTGCTGAAATCTACACTCATGCCTTTGTTATTCTCAACTTGAGTACTTGCAATGTTTTCCTGGCTCCCACTTCGACCCTGTCAAAAGCTAAGACCATCCAAAATGTTGCTCCTTCTGTCTCAACTCACACCGTATCCCATTTCTTTATCAATGCTTACAGTTCAGCATTGCTTCCCTGTTAAATATCTTGCTTTTAAAATTCTCATTCTTGTTTTGAAATCCCTCCAGGGCCTTGCCCCTCACTATCTCTGTAATCTCTCCCATACCCTAAATCCTTTTATGACATCTACACTTCTCCAACTTGGGGCCACCAGTTGCCTAGACCATTAGCTTTGAAATTTCCTCCTGACTCCTCTCCATCTCTATCTCTCTCTCTATCTCATTTTTCTCCTTTATGCTGTTTCTTAAAACCTGCCTGTCATGTTGGTTATCTGACCTAAATTTGCCTAGCTGATTTGGTGTCGTAGTTTTTATTATGTTCCTTGTGATTTTTTTATGATGTTATAAGTGCAACATAAGCATGTGCTGATGTTATTCAATCAACAAAATCTGAGTAAATTGTTTGGCAGTACTCTGATTTGTTAATGCCAAATGTTACCAACCAGATGATGAATCAAGGTTCATGATAAACCCAAGACAACAGAAAAGGCTTTTCTGATGAAGGGTCTAGGCCCGAAACGCCAGCCTTTCTGCTCCTATGATGCTGCTTGGCCTGCTGTGTTCATCCAGCCCTGCACCCTGTTGTCTCGGATTCTCCAGCATCTGCAGTTCCTACTATCTCATGATAAACCCACTCACATTTTTACCTCCAAACTAATAGTCAAAAATATTTTTCAACTCACTCATTTGCAGAAAAAAATATACTTTTTTTTTAAAGAGACTGAGGATATTTTTAAAGACTATCTTAAGAATTATTTATGTACTGATGTAAGTATATGGAGGGTTTGTTTAAGATTCATGTTTGTACCCAAAGATTTTTATGTCAGTGAAACCCAATGTATCTCTTGTGTTGTTGCATATGAATAAATGCTATTAAAAAGATCCAGCCTTTTATTTTTGGTCATCAGCATAAATGAGGTAAAACGTTGGCTATATATCAAGTCTTAGCTAAGCTCTTGAGAGATATTATATATACATATTCTATTTATTTATTTATATATAATATAAAATAAGAACTAATATACTCATTTTTTATGACTTTTTTAAAAAACTGGATTTTATACAGATTCATCACATTCAGCCTCATTTAGTGTGTAATATGATTCAACACGTGATTGGGTGACATAATTTAAATCAAAAACAAAACAAATTTAATTTTTTATTTGTATAATAGTAGTCAGCTAAGTTGATAATTGGCTGTGTTCATCTTCATACACATTCTTAGACTGATTTATTTTTTCACAAGTAATAAAGCCTTTCAAGATTCTAATAGTTTCTAACATTAACTCTTGAAGGGTAAGTTTGCACTTGTGATTTCCTGGAGGATGAGTTTCAGCACTGAGGGTGAAAACTTAAGAAGATAGGAGCAGGAGTAGGCCATTCAGCCCATTTGAGCCTGATCTGCCATTGAAGGTCATGGTTGACCACCCACCTCCATGCCATATTGCTATGTTATTCCCATTTCCTTACATTTCTGGTTACTAATGTAATCAATCGATCTCTGTTTTGAACTTACTCAATGACTAAACATCCTCAGCCTTTGAAGGTAGAGAATGCCAAATATGCAACACCTTCTTAGTGAAGAAGTTCCTCATCATCTTGCTCCTAAATGGCTCGCCCTTTATTCTGAGGCTGTGTCCCCTGGTTCTACACTCCGTCAGCCGGTGGGACACACCTTTTCTGCACATGCAGAGATGTGCCTTTCAGAATTTTGCACGTTTCTGAGGTTGCCTCTCATTCTTCCAAACTCTGGAGAATACAGGCCTAGTTTCCTCAGTCTCTCCTGTGTCCTATTATTCCAAGAATCAGTCTGGTGAGCCTCCAACCCACTTCCTGTATGATAAGTGTATACTTCCTTAGGCGAAGGAACCAGGACTTTACACAATGCTCTAGGTGCAGCCTCATCAGTGTTCTATACAATTGAAGGGGATCCTCTTATGAGGAGCGATCGAGTAGATTGAGCCTGTACTTATTGCCATATAGAAGAATGAGAGGGGACCCAATTGAAATGTACAAGATTCATAGGGGACTTGACAGGGAAGATGTGGAAAGGTTGTTTCCCCTTGTGGGAGAGTCTAGCATCAGAGGGCATAATCTCAGAATAAGGGATCACACATTTAAAGATTTGAGGATTCTTCTGACGATTATAAATCTCTGGAATTCTTTACCTCAGAGGGCTGTTGAGGCTGCGTCATTAAGTATTTTCAAGGCTGAGGTAGACAGAGTTTTAATCATGTGAATCAAGAGTTATGAGAAAAAGTCAGGAAGGTGGAATCGAGGAATGCAAGATCAGTAATGATCTCATTGAATGGCAGGACAGGCTTGATGGGCTCAATAGTTTATATCTCCTATGCCTTTGCCTCTGTGTGCAAATCCCTTTGCAATAATGGCTAACATGATATTTGCCTCCTAAATTGCTTACTACACCTGTCTGCTAGCTTTCAGTGAAAACTGGTAGACCTCGGTAAA